CAAACATAAACTGAAGTACAAAAGTACTATTACAAACTATTATAAATCTTTCAAAAGTATGTGATCATACTAGTTACTTATCACCTGCAGTTTTTAAACATTGATAGGGTAAGCGGTGACGCTTAGTGAGTTCAATAATAGATACAATATAACGTTATGCCATATATATACTTCAATGTGGCAAAATCAAAGAGGAACAACAAGACATATGTGAAATCATGTGACAAGCGTTCATATCAATCAAAGACTTTATTCCAGTGGCAGAGCCAAGACCAAAGTAAAGAGGTATCCTAATTTTATATTGAGGGTAATCCAAAAAAAAAAATCAGAGTACTTGGCTTTCCCCGGTTCCATTTCGGTTTTAAACCCTAACTTTAATCGAATCCTTAGCTAACCTCAAGTATTGTTATATAAACATGAAGTTGAAGTATATTTTGATACTTGAATCAATGTGGGATTCAAAGTAGACATCAAATGAAGTATGAGGATAGCAGACTTATATAATAGACAAAAATGGTTGAGTTTACATATGTTTGGCGATGTGGGATAGTATAGTTGGGAAAAAAATAGACAAAGGATATGTAAGGAGAAAGAATTGAACTTGAGAGCTTTACTTCAATAAACCAATACATTAACAAGTAGCTCTCCTATTTGTTTTGTGTTATAATTGAATGGATGCATATATATACATTATATCGAAAAAAAATTAAAAGATTCGTAAACAGAAATTACACTACCGAAATTTTTTTGAGGGGTATCCCGGGCTACCCTGGGATCTCCTTGGATCCGCCTATGCTTTATTCAAAGATATACTTTTCAATGCTTGATATACATTAATAAAACTTTGGCCCAAATGGCATAGAAGACATGCAATTTCTGATTAACATCTTGTTAGATTTCAGGCTTATAGTCCTGTCTAACCATTTTCTAATGCCATAGAATAGAAGTCATTCTCTTACGGAGACATGCTCTACATGGCCAGAGGCTACGTACCAGTACCAATGTGAATCTAAGTTCTTTCACTGATCACATGGTCAAAGGTATTACATTTGCTATAAACATAGAGAATAAAATAACACGGGAAAATAACTCAGAATAATAACACTGAAAAGCACATATAACACATAGCATACAATTGTTCCTATATATTGAACTCACCTTAAATTAACCGGGGGTTAAAATAGTAATTTGGACAGTACTTCGGCTTTAAATATGACTTTCTATGTTGAAAACATGGAGCTTAATTAAAAACTGGGCTTTGCGAAGGTAGGCTTCAAAACCGAAAAGATAAATTTTTCGGGCTTCTCGGGAGCTTCGGGACGTGTTTCAGGTGCTAAAATTGATACCGGGGCTTCGGGGAAAGTCAAAATGAAGAAAATATGGAAAAAGGGGTGAAAAGTATCAAAAATTCAAAGTTAATCGGCAAGTCTCGCAACCCCCTTATTTATAGGGTGCGAGACCGAAGTCGGCTGGGAAGGAACCAGGCAGCGAAGCAGCTCGGTGGCATCGACAGCGAGGGGCACAAGGTTGTTGAGTGGCTCGGACGTGGCTCCTGCGAAACGAAGCACGTGGCTCGCATGCGAGAGGGGGCGGCGGTGGCGAAGCGAGGCTCGGACACGCGTGCGAAACACGTCGCTCTTCGGACGTGCCACGACTCCGGTGACGTATCTGCTTCGTGCGAGGTGACGTGGCCGGTACTATTCATGCGAGATTTCTCGGAAATTGAGCCCCGAACTTCTAAAATCCATAACTTTCGCATACGAGCTCCGTTTTGACGTTCTTTATATGCACGTGTAGCTAAAATAACGCTCTACAACTTTCATTTTGACTTCGTCGGCTAATTTTGACTTTATTTTTAATATTATTATTTTTAACAGACCGGGACAAGAAAATCCATTAAAAATTCATAACTTCTTCATCCGACATCCGTTTTCCTCAGACTTTTTACCGTTGTACTACAAATGACGAGACCTTCGATTATCGTTTAGGATGTATCGGTCAAATATCGCTTCTAAAATTCGAGTTTTTAGCTGTGTACTGCTAAGTTGAAACTTCGAAAAATCATAACTTCCTCATACGAAGTCAAATTTTGGCGTTCTTTTTATCGAATTTCCCGGTTTAACGAATACTATGACTTTCATTTAGATCACTAAGGCTAAAAAGTAGTTTATCAAAAACTCACTTTTTACGTCATTCGGTGACGTGCCGGTTTTGTCGCGGATCTTCGATTGGTCATAACTTCTTCGTTATAATCGGATTTCGACGAGGTTTTCGCCTAAACACTTCTAACGAGATTCTCTACAACATCAAATAATAAAATTTTACTTATTTAAAATTTTATATTTTCGCTAAATTTTCATTATTTGGCTATTAATTGAAATCTCATAAGACTTCCAATATTTTCTGAGTGATTTTAAACATAGTTTTACTTCATTTCTGGTAAAAACCATCTTGTTAGAACTCAACACTCAATTTCACATGGTATTTCACAATTTTATTCATTACAAAACACGATTTCGAAATGTGTATGTTACATTGTCCCTCAAGCAGGGCACTGATTCTGTTACTGTGGTTACCACGAAGTTTCATGAGAGGGCAATGTTCTGCCCTGGGTAGGTGTCTACCGAGCAGGCACACATGAGTCGGTATTTGGGCATTCTGAGGAGGGATATTCAGGAGTTTGTGTCGAACTCGACTTACCGAACATTTGCTGAGCTCCAGACAAATGCCCGGAAGAGGGAGATTAAGTTGGAGACTCGGGCAAGGGAGGAGGTTGAGTCTCAGGGGATGGATTGGCGGCCAACACAGTCTCAACCGGCAGCCAAGCATTATTATAATATTATATTATAATAATATAATATTATTTATATTATTATATTTTGAAAACATTATTATTGTTGTTTTGTTTTATCTTAATAAAAGATAACTTTGAAATTATTAATATTAATAAACTTAATAATAAAATATAATTGTTAAATAATAAATGTTTATTGATTAGGTTATAAAAAGTAAGGCTAAGGCTAAGGGTTATGGTTACACCTAGCCTACTCAAAAAGTGACGTCATATCAACATTACATCACCTCCACTACAAACCTATTACCAACCTACTATCTCTTGGAAATGGTCACCACTTTAAATCATTTTTTATTTTTATTTTTTTTATTTTTTTACATTAAAATTATTTAAAAAATAATTATTAAACAAAAATAAAAACATAAATATTAGCTAAAAACATTTTACATTAATTTAAAAAACATAAATTTAAAATCTACATTACTTAAAAAACATAATAATTTAAAACCTAAAGTACAAAAAAAAAAAACATATAAAATATTACTCGCCGTCATCCCCGTCGTTGTCATAGCCACCGTGTTGCTGGAATTGCTTTTGTCATACATGCTCAGTCAAATCATAACGTAAATTGTGATGTGTTTCACTATTTTGTATTTCCAAAAATCGTGTGAAGTATGCAGGGCTGCCGACTTGTATTGCTGCCGGTGGGTTAAGAATATCTACCGGATTATATATATACAAATAGCTATACCATTTTCTTCAATTATCATGTTATGTAAAATAACACAAGTAGTCAACACCTTCGTCAATTTCGATCTATCCCATGACCGTGTCAGATGTTTGATAATGTGCCACTTTTGTTTGCGGACCCCAAACGCCCGTTCCACATCCTTCATTGCCGATTCTTGTGCTAATTTGAACAATTTTCGTTTTTCATCGCCCGGAAATGAAAACGACTTGACAAACGTAGCGTACTTTGGATATATCCCATCACCAAGGTAATACCCGCAATTATATTGATGTTTATTCACAACAAACGACATATTTGATGCTTTACCCCGCAAAATATCATTAAATATTAGAGAGTCTCCAAGCACATTCAGGTCGTTTAACCCCGCCATACCAAAAAATGCATGCCAAATCCATAGGTCATGTGATGCAACGACCTCTAGTATAAATATCAGGATGCCATGATCACCTTGAGTGAATTGACCTCGCCATGCATTGAGACAATTTGCCCACTCCCACTATATACAATCAATGCTACCAAGCATTCCTGGTAAGCCATGTTTAGCTTCATGTGCGACATACAATTGTTCGATATCATTTCTAGTTGGATGCCGCAAATATATGTTACCATCAAACTCTATGAAATACTCACAAAAAAGACAAGCACATTCTAGCCCAGTCCTCTCAGACATTTTCAGATACTCATCTGAAGCATCTGCTGCTACGCCGTATGCCAATTGTCTAAGGGTTGTTGTGCATTTTTGTAGGGTACTAAAACCACGTTTACCTCTTGCATCCCATCGCAATTGGAAAAAATCATAATTGTTTTCCAAATATCTAGCAATACGTAAAAATAATTTTCTACTAATACAAAATAGGTCTTCAAATTTTGATAGGTCATACAAACTATCAGGTACAAAGTAATCATGTACCAAAAACTCTTGTGTCGCCATACGATCCTAAACTATCAAAATTCTATGCCTCTTCTCGGTATTTGAACTTTCGCCTCTTTGCTGCACTCTATTGCATGCCGCAGTCGACAACTTGTGCAACACCAAGTCATCTTCATTAGAGCTATCATCATCGGATGAAGAAGAAACAATCAAACCCGCAAAATTATTCATATCTATGTTTGAAAGTGTGTTTGACAGGGGGAATAGAAAAATATTTGTGATATGAATGGAAATGTATTTGTTTATATGTTGTATATGTATTTATATATGTGTATTAAGTTTTGTTTGATTTTTTTTACCTTGGTAACGGTCAAAAGAAAAGAAAGAAAAAGGAATGATCAAAAAATGGTCTATCAATCACGTTAGTAGTCTTCGTCCGTAGCCAACCTCATGCTACAAGACACCTATTCCCCATTGGGGCAGTGTTCACGCGTGGGTAGAGGTGCCACGTAGGCAACATAGGCACCACGCGTAACCAAACCCAATCCATACGGTAAAGCCTAATGGTGTATGATGGTATATAGAATAAGTAGGACCCATATATTAACAAGTTTATGCTTGCAAACAAAGTAACAAACACTCGTATTCTAGCTAGCTACAATATATTGCTGCTGCTGCTACCCGCGCCTAGAATATCGGGCAACCGGTGACATTAATTCCGGTAGCTGTTGGACACGTGGCCAAAGGACAGTGATCAGGCTTTGCCCCCCACCACTTCAAATTAACCCCTTCGTTTTGCAAGGCGAAGAACAGCAGCACGCCCATGAACGCCGTACCTGCATCCAGCGCCGCCGAAAGGATGTAATTGTACTTCTGCCACCATTGTTTCCGGTACTTGAACACAAAATAGTTAAAGATCATTCCGGTGACAAGCCAGCTTGCTATGTTTGTGGGAGTCGCCGGCGGCATTCCGGCGAAACCATATGATATAACAGGTATGTTAATCAACGGAATCCATTTCTTTTCCGGGAAAATCTTGCTCATTATCCACACCGGCACCGGCAAGAAAGCTCCGATTAGAAACAGCCATACGAGATTTCTATACAAACCTCCGGATCCAAAGAGTCTCTCTGGTCCGATGAGTCCCCAAATCACAGAAGCATCAAATGTAACTTTGAATTTGGGGCATGTCCATGGACTTTCGGGATGAAGCCCCTCGATATCACACAGATTCTCGATATTCTCCAACATCCACCATGACACCGCGAGATTCACCGTCCCTGCAACTAGGGTTCCGACGAGCTGAGCTGTGAACATGCATCGAGGTGGGATCTTCATGTAGTGCCCTAGCTTCAGATCCGACAAGAAAGAAAGAGCATGAATTGTACTGATTCTTCCGTAGATTTTGAACAGCAGATTCGCAATCGGTTTTCCAGGCAAAATATACCCGATTATGAACTGTGCTATGATGTCATATCCAGGTTGCTGGTTTGTAGTAGCTTGAATGACTCCAATGGGGAGAGTAACGAGCCAAGCCAGACCAAAAGCAAAGAGAAAACCCCACCATGGAAGCTGCACATCTTCTTTCCAAACGAAACACATCACCAGAGACAACGCGATGCTTCCTACCAACATCACCAGATACCACCATTGCGGGACTTGTTTATAGCTCTGCATCAATTTCGCATGGATGTCGATCTTAGCATTCTTCACTGCCGATTTACTCTGCTTCCATATATCCCTACAAAACAAAATCCAATCAAATCAAAACCCTAGACGATTTATTCGATCAATCAACCGAAACATCAATCAAAATACTTACCCGCCATGAAATAAGGCAACGTGGGTGAGAGTGGCGGTGAACCTGGCGAATCCGGATCCAATTGAAAGCGCAAACAAAGGACTTAAGTAGAGCTTGCTGTAACTATTGTAAGCAGCGATGTTGAGATCGAATTGTGGGGTTAAGATTCTGGTGGTGTCGTACTCATGGCCGGTGGCGGTGAATAGCTTGTTGGAGAAGATCGGGAATTTTCTGGCATCAAATGTCTCGTATTTCCAGTAACAAATCGGAACGATGATGTAGATGAAAGCGATGAAGCCTGCTCCGACGTTGAGAATGGAAGTCCAAGGGGTGACTAATGGGCTGCCATGGTAGGCGGAGATCCCAGCCCAGTCGAGGGTGAAGGCGCCGACTCCTAACCCATGGTAGCCGGAGCCGATTTGTTGGGCGGTGATGCTGTGTGGCCAAACCCAGCAAACCCATGAGAAGAAGGTCAAAATGGGAAAAAGGTAGCCTGGAAGTGCGTAATACGCAAAGCTTAAAACCAGGAATATCATGAAAAATCGCATCCTTGTCATGCCTTCACCTTTGTTTTCCTTCTCATGCAATGCCCTAAAATAAGTAAATAAATAAGTAAACTGTAAAAGGTTAATTACAAAAAGAAAAATAGAAAAACTACACACTTTACCGTAATTATTGCTTTTGATTTAAATTTTGCTTATAATAACAGCCTACTTTTAATGTATTCTTACTTATAATAATAACCAATACCGTTAATTGTTGTTGTAATCGTGAATTTTTATAAAAACATGTTGATACTTCTATAGTTATATTGAGTGTGGGTTGTTGGAATCCTAAGTCGAGTAGGACTTGGAGACCAAGTAATAGCAACCTAGTTTTTAGGAAATCATAAACAAGTAGGTTTCTAGTTTCCTAATTGTAATCTAATTACAAGTCGGTAGTTAGGAGTATATATACATTGTTTTAGGTCGAGTTATGATCATCGGAAAGCATTGTAAACACCGTGAGTTTTGAGTGATATTCTCACAATAATCAAAGAGTTATTTTAATTAACATAATTGTGTTTACATATTCTGATCTTTATGGGTTGCTATAATAAGTAAAATTTAAAGAATGGAAGAAAGTGGAAGTAGGTTGTTATTATTTGTAAAATGTAAAAGTGGCATAGTATAATCCATGATTTGGTAGTATTCGTTGCTATTTATTGCAATTAATGCATAAATAAGTAAATAAACAGATAGATGCAAAAATATACGAGGTCGTTTGACACATTAGCTGAAAGGCTAAATTTTAAATCATAAGTTATGAATAAGTCATTTCAAACTAGCTCATCAAAAAGTTAGTTTATAATCTAATTTTATGGTTTTACCAAATGCTAAATTACAATAAGTTAGCTTATTTCTGCGAAAGAAGGACTAACCTAGTTTCATTGATTTGTTCATCATCACATTCTAGTTTTGTTGCTTCTTAATATTATATTTTTGTTGCTTCTTATAATATCAATAATACCTTGAGGGATCTACCAAATTAGCATGATCTAAATTTTTGGTGTTATAACTATGAGGGATTTTTAACTTATAATTTCTAATAATAGAAAAAAAAACTAAAAATGCAATGTTATAATTGAATAGATTTTCCCAACCACTATGCCTTAATAAATTTTGTTATTTATTTAAATACAATGTTGTTATAGAAAGAAATAGAAGTATGGTGCTATAATATAAAAATAAACGAAACTAAGTTATTATATATCAGATTTAGCCCATAAATAAATTGATAAATGCACTAAATAGCAATGTATTTTTGTGGGATAAATGTAATTGTGTGCTATATGATGCTTTCAGCTTTTGTAAGGATATCTTTGTTGAGAAACAATTTTAAAATTTGGAAGTCTAGCAGTTATGAAATGTTAGCGTCATTTTGTGCTAATGGTAAAACATATGAACATTTTATTAGATACCACATGATCATTTTTATTACTCTGCATATTTATATAATGATTTGTTAATAAATCATCTTACTTTTCTTTCTATATATTGCAATTTCTTTTAAAAAGGAACTGATGCATACACAATTTTTTTTCCCTTACTCAACAATATGTGTTTTAAAATGTTGTATCGTAAACTCCACAAAACATAAATTGTTATGCATGGAGAAATTTTTTTGACTACGAATCACTACCCAAAATCATGTTTAATTATAATAATGACATCTAAATACAAAACAATTTAACTGTTGAGATAATTGAATAAGATTTTCAAAATACTCGATATTAATAAAAATAATTTAAAATGCAAATATTATAATCAGATAGATTTCTAAAAATAACTATGTTATAAGAATTAAAAATCAATTTTTTTAATAAAATAAAATAATATAAAATAAGATGCAATAATAGACTATTTTGTAATTGATCCATAAATACATAATGCAACCAGTGTGCAATGAATGGCACATATTCATATATGTCCCCTTTATGGTTATTAATTATTATTCTCCAAATGACGTCCACGTATCTTCAATTTCAGTATATAAACTTTTCAAGCTCTCAAAAGGAATATTAGGCATACAAATATAGCATGTAATTTTTTTCCACCAAACCATAAAGTAGAATATGCATACATTAACTGATTAATCATTAATTATTATATAATATTTATATTTATTAGTTAATTACAAATAATAAAATAAAAATGGTACTGACCTAAAGAGAGAAACCTGAGCTAGGTTTGCTGGCCACCACATCTCCACTGGATCAACCAGATACCTTCTCAGCATTCCTGCCCATCCATACCCTAATATCTAACAATAAAATTCAAAATAATAATAATAACATCATTAGTTTCCAAACAAAAGTATTTCTTTATTATAATTATATATAATTTGAATTCAAACCACATAAAATAAAATTACCTGAGTAGTCAAAACGATAATCAAACCACAGAGGAAACTCAAGCTCTGTCTATAATAAGCTTTCATAACAGTAATGGCTCCAATGGAGTACGCATCACCCCCACCTGTAGACACCCCACAATTTGCAAACACAGTGATTATCACGTGCTCCTTCATGTTAAACGGACCCGGATTCAAGCTAAAGCTCCGACCCATTAACTTGTACTCCTTCGTCGGCAACGTCGCCGCCATGAATTTTCCGATCGGAAGAACTGCAATCTGCATAAGAATGGCTGATATCGCAAGAGGCTGAGTTCGGTATATGAAGAAAGTGTTTAGGAATATTAGAACAACGCACGACCCAACGCCCAGTGTCCATGCCCGGAATGTCATTACCGGTAGTGATGTGTCGTCGGTTTCCGGCACCACCAGAGCCACCTCTTCCACGGTACACTCTGCAACCGCCGCCGCCGGTGGTGGTGGCCCATTTTGTTTTTCGCCGGTGTCGTTATCCGAAGCCATTGTTGCAGAGCGTCAGAATTCAGAAGGCAGACTCACTTTTGAGATGTGCTTTCGGACATTTGGTTTTTATGAGAGATGGAGGAATAATCTGTCAAAATTACAAAACTGCCCCCAAACGTTAGATATTTTTGTATTCCTTTTCTTTGGTTTGATTTTATGTGTGACTGTAATTATATAGAATATAGAAATTGAGATTTGGTTTGATTTTATAGTCACAGAAATAGAAATTCCTGCTGACTGTTTTTCTTCTCGTTTTGTATTATTTTCATTGGATTTAGTTTATAAACATTATCTGAAATCAAACATGTAACATGGGAAACAAGGTGACTTACGATTGTTTGAAGGGCAAAATGGACTTTTACTTTGTCAAGGTCAAGCGAGTCAAATCAGGTTAAGAATTATAAGTGGGAAAGAGGAAACGAAATTAAATAAAAATTAAGGTTGTTGGGTATGTGTAATCACATGACTCACACACTTTCTTTCAAAATGGACAAAATATAAATATCCACATGGCACCGAGCTGTCATGATAGGCCCCATGCCATGTAGGATGGTTGTTGCCAGGTCAACAGACACCCATGCTAGTATGCTACCATTTGTTCGATTGCATTTCCTCGAGTTGTAATTTTCATATTCATAAAGTTCATAAAGTTCAAGCCCTTGTATATGCTAATATACATAGGTACATATGGATGTAAAAAATAATTTTTGTTTTCATCAACTTAGGTTAATTTTTTAAATTGATAAATAAAAAGTTTAAATTATATATATATATATATATATATATATATATATATATATATATATATATATATATATATCCAACTATTATTATTATTAATGATAAAAACATGTATCCCATCAAGAATAATTAATCTAATTTAATCCCTAGAGGTATTAATGTTTGTAGTTCTCTTTATCTTATTTGCAAGTGGGGATCACTCTTTTTCTTGAGTGTACGCTTGCAAAAGCTTTGCTTCAGAAACTGAGTCGTGATCTTGATATTTCTTTGTTAGATTGGTGGATGAGATATCTTTGTTCTTGGAGGCTATTCATTTAAGTATGAATATGAATGTTATATTGGAAACTATTATGTACATGAACTAGTGGTTCCTATGAAACTTCAGAAATAAATGTGTGTTTGATCAATCGAGACCTAAACAAGATATGTTATTTGTTGATATTGTTGTTTTTTCTTTTTAATTGGATGGTGCATCGGAAGCATAAATTATTTATTCTAGAGCTTATGGCTTCAAAACCCTATTTTGAACATTAGGATTTAATTGTTTCATTTCGTCTTTAGCTTCTTGCTAAGGCTTTTTTTTTTTAATAAAAATTCAGTCGTTCAAAAGAAAATTCTTAAAAAAAAATTAAAATTAAAATCAATTGAAAAAGAAAATATTCGTGTGAATTTAAGAATTTATGGCACATGTATATTAGATGGTAAAGCATGAAGAAGGAATAATAGAGGCCGTATAATATAGGGTTGGTTGTGTCATTATCAAACAACAAGACTTCGTGAGCGATGCCAAATTTCTTTCACCCCACATTATTAAAGTTGATTTAACTCTTCATCTAATCATCCCCAAATTTCAACTCTAGTGAATGATTTCCTTGCTATCTTTCTTTTCTTAAGGAGAAATAAATACAAACTCAGAGAAGTGTTAGCAAGTTATGACAAAATTTCACAAATGTCTATGTGTGTTGCTTAGGTTCTTAAATTTACTTCACCAAAACCCATCCATTAAACACTTATATTACACTATTATTCTTGTATTATAACGTCATCAATCATTTGTGACATTTGTGGATCTCTCTCGTTGATCTCTTCCCCTCATGGCTTTTTTTACCGTTTTGAGTTTTCTACATTAATATTTGTGTGTTTGTTTATATCTTTAATGCAACTTATATGCGTTGATTTCCATTGATATTTTTTAAAACAACAGACAATAAAATAACTAAAAATGATAGCAAGAAGCAAGAACAAAAGAAAAACCTAAAATCATTACAAGACACAATAATTGATGTTGAAGCCACAACACCCAATCAAAATAAATCTTATACCTACTTGAGCACTAAAGATAGGACGGAGAAACCATCTCATAAAAAATAAGACTCTTTTTTTGGATGATCCTTACCAAAAGTGGTCTTATTTCTAAACATCCAAACATATTACCAAGAAATAAAGAAAACACCATCAAGAACATCTTTATCTCTAAACTCTGTATTGTGAAACAAAACGGAGAGAAAAAGAACAAGGAGGGGAGGAGGTGGTGGTGGTGGTGGAACATATCTAATGAAGCAGTGGAACCACTGACAACCACTTGACGCCACTGCTTATGTGAAATTGTACCAAACACATAGTTTTGTGTATAAAATCACATCATACACATCAGAATTGGCAAATCTTAGAGTGTCATCTTCAATGGTGTGAGGCAACAAAGAGCTTTGTGAAATCGTAGATCTGGTGGCAATGGTTCGACGGTGTTTTGTGGTTGTAGTGAATGTGCTAGATCGGAGTAGAGTGGCAATATGGTGGCCAGAAAAAGGTTTTATCCGGAACCAAAGGGTAAAACGGAAAAAGTTATATGTCGGGCTTCTTGCATGGATTATGGTTTTAGTTCAACATGTGTTAAACAAAAGGTAACTACATAGGATTGTGGGGCTTGTCAATACATTTCCTTGCATATAAAGTGTAACATCCGGTTCCTGGATGTATTTTACATAAATTTATTCATTTTTGTACAGGAACTCGACGAGTTGGAGGCCCCAAACTCATCGAGTAGGAACGGAATTTGGACGCGGAACCTAAAGTCTACTCGACAAGTTGAGGTACTCAACTCAAAGAGTAACGCTGCCAGATTGAAAGTCTAATTTTCAGGGTTTAGCACCATATTTAAACACCTTAACCTCTAAATACCACACCCCCAAACCAAAATGGCGTAAATATTCGGGGGTGGATGACTTCATGTAGTATCATAACAGTTGAGTATTTGTAAAGAAAGTAAATACAATCATCATAAATATAATTTAAAAGTTACATTGTTGAATGTAATACATGTTTCAAAACAAAGTACAATATGATGATTTAATAAGTTTTGAAACTGACGCCTTAGCGTCACTTCCCCAAAAGCTGGTGTTTACATGCATTACTGAATTCCTGAGAAATACAAGTAGTTATAAAAAACCGTCAACAATTAAGTTGGTAAGTTCATGAGCATTTTTGTATAGGAATAGTGTAACGACCCAATTTTTTTACGTCCGAAAATTTCATTTTAAAATATTACTTTAGAAAACATTAATAAATAGAAACATTGTTTGATCACACCATAACACATCGCAATCATGTTCTAAAAGGTCAAACCATACATCCCATCAAAATATCAGAGTACAATCCCAGTGAATCTCTTAAATGCGGAAACCGAAGAGTGTGTGTATGACGTGCCGCTACCGCGCCGGCTCCTTCCCCTTCGATGCGGAGGTACCTGAAAACAAAACTGTAAACGTAAGCACAAAGCTTAGTGAGTTCCCCCAACGTACCACATACCACACAAACACATAATATACGCACTGCCAGGCTATTCTGGGGTGCCTGACTACCCGGTACGGCCATTCTGGGGTGCCGACCTACCCATACGGCCATTCTGGGGTGCCGTCTTACCCGTGTCAAGCCATTCTGGGGTGCTGACTACCCATCGGTCCTAACAACCGATCCTCGGGGACTGGTCCCCTCCCGCTACCTCTATCGCATAACATAACAGACCAATCATACAAGCATACCATCACATACAGTTAGATAATTCTGGGGTGTCTGACTACCCATCGGTCCTAACAACCGAACTCTACTACTATTGCATATAACGTATCATGATAGCATATAACATAACAGGTAATAGCAAACCTAGATGATTTCAAAGAGACAATCATCTATCATACGTCTCCTACTGGTGGGCCGGCATTGTGGCCTTAGACCCACCGCTATTGGAAGGTAACTCACCTCAAAGTAGCTGCTGAACTGATCGGGAACTAACTGACTGCTGCTGCTCCGGGAGTCCTCCGGCTGCAATTCCCACAACATACTCAATTAAACACTGCTAACTGTCCTTTAGGTAAAATGACCATTTTACCCCCGGTCTAGCTCTAAGCCAAAGCTAGAGTCAACTTTCAGTTGACCCGACTCGCCGAGTGGATCTCCACTCGCCGAGTCCCTAGCAAACTATTGTCCTGGGTCCCTGGTTCTACTCGTCGAGTTGGGCTATGACTCGACGAGTTCACCTTCTAAACTGACGTTCAACCTCTTCATCCTACTCGCCGAGTTGTATGAACAACTCGTCGAGTTCATCTTCATCCGAAGAACACTTTATGCTAAGACTCGCCGAGTTGTATGAACAACTCGCCGAGTCTGTTCTTAATCTATGAAGATTGCCTTGGACTCGCCGAGTCAGGGCATTGACTCGCCGAGTCCTAACATGGGTGAGTTCAGCTCCCAACTCACCGAGTCACCCCCTGTGACTCACGGCTCAACTCGATACATCATGAAGGGACCAAATCGGTGACTCGCGACCAGACTCGCCGAGTCGCCAATACGACTCGCCGCCATGCATCCACCAAATACACCGATTTACTTGATTTCAGTCCATGCCATTCATAGATCTGGACTTCTAGGACACAAATCACACGTAAAGTTTCCAACTTTACGTGTGGATATTCACTAATATGGATTTTAGGGTGCAAAATGCCTCAAAAGGGTAGATCTAGGATGAACAAGCCACATGGGGCCATAAAGCTACCAGATCTGAGCTCCTGGAGCTCAATCTTGCCTAGATCTAAAGGTTAATCCACTTATTACGAAACATTAAGCACAAACAAGCTTGAAGAATTGCTCAAGAGTGTCTCAAATGGAATCTTAAGCATAGAAACAGGGGAAAAACGAGATATACCTCAAGGAAAGTGTTGAAATGACACAAAGATGGCTGATCTCCTTCTCCTCTTCTTGATCTA